GACAGAAAGAGGTACTGGGCAGAGAGAACGGAACGGTTTTTAATGTCAAGACAACAATGACAGGAGGGGCGGGTGTTTCACACGCGAGGCTGCTTGCACCAACAGGTGGAGAAGGAGCATCGTATGCCTGCCGGCCGTTGTTGGCGGAAAATAGTGTATGTTGATGGTATGAACGACCCCATTTCTGTGCAGCCAAATACCTACATACACACACATGGAACACATACACCGAGGCAGCTATTTATACCATAGAAAGTGGTCGTAAGCGAATCAGAGCGCGAACAACGCTCTCTTCCCGTACCACAAGCCGTTGAACGTGCCTAGCGTCGCGGTAAGAAAAGGGAAGTGCGAGCCTGATATTCAAAGGTCGACTGCTCCACGGCCGAGATTACGCCAACACCAAAAACTGTGGGTTTGGAAACATCTCGTCGTGGGCTTCCCCTTGAATTGTCGGGCTTTTTCCGCACCCCCTTGGCTGTGGAGAATCGAACAATGAAAGTCGGCCGGTCCAGGGGAGTTACCATATGTATGTCAGCCTCCTACGGATATATTTCCTAGCAAGGGCTCTCACAGGCCTGCCACCGTAGATCTCCTCGACGTCCAGCATGAAGGACCTCGCGGTGAAAATTCGCAGAAACGTCAGCGCCGATGATGCCGGCTGGTCGAACAGGTCCAGGTCCGACAGCAGGCTGGAGCCATGCCTTCGAGTAACAGCAGCAGCAGCAGCAGCAGCAGCAGCAGCAGCAACAGCAGCAGCAGGGACACGAAAAGTAGCACACATACGCAGTCGTCATCGACGGCACATCCGGGACACGAGATGTTTTGCAGCAATCGTGAAATCGCAAGAACCGTGGTAAGGGCGGAGAGGAACCAAAGATTACCACCCATTTGTCGTCCACGTTTCGCTGAAGTCTCCACATCGTGATTCGTTGTCAAATTGACGCAAAGAAGAATTTTCCACCGCTCGTGAGAGGAAAAAAAAAAAAAATCCGCCATGACAAGCTTACCCAGAAACACGTGGAAACAGGATGAGGGAACTTTCAGGATAAGGGTCATCATGCACAAAGGGAACCAAGGACACCCTGACAACCGTATGGGACACACGATTACACGCAAGATAACACCCACACACACAGTAACATACTCGGTGGTTTATTACCGGTTAACACGAGCCCTACAATCAAAATTATTCACATAAGAAACAGAGGGACAATCGATACCACACGCTCTTATGCACAAAGCCGGGACGGAACGCCGGGTTATCACTGGACCAGGCCCTCACATCACCAAGCGCCAAACGCTGTGAGGTACTCTACACGGCGCGGTGCATGGAGGGTGCGTTGCGCCGAAAGGGTGTTTGGCATCTTGTGCTTCACTCCCTTGTAGACGGATCGAATGACTTGAGGGGGGGGGGGGGGTACTCAT